ACATTGCTTGTAATTATAAAGAAATTGTGCATTCAACTGAAATTTTAGCTGCTGGAATCAAATTAATGTGTTGCTAGTTACATTTTTTCTTCTTCAGAAGTGAAGTATGCTTTCTGTTTGTAAAACAAGGAGCGCCAAGAGATAAAATTACTATAAACACTAAAAAGCTGATTTTATATTTCAAAGTTTTTAGTATATTCAATGGGTGATATCTATATCAATTGGTCTGTAACCGATTCACTCAATTAGTTAAACCATGGAGATAATGAGTGAAGCTAATTGCCCAGGATAGAATAGAACTCAAGACTTCGTTGGGGTTTTTTTGTGGCACTATCTTTCCATCAGCCAAATGAACACTTTTTTTAAAAACCATTCTGAACATCAGCAGAAGCTTCATCTCTCACTAGTAAGAAAGTTTAAAAGCGTATGTTTTCATGTACTTTTTAGTAACTATTCAGAGAGATTGCCAGATTAATTCCAATCAGTTGGGTTTCACTCTTACTTCAGAGTAAAGAAAAAAAATCATACAAATTGTTTTATAAGCTGAAGCTGGTAATGTATTTTCATTGTTACTTCATTTAATCCTTACCACATCCATATTCAATAGGTATTATTATTCCCATTTTATAGATGGGAAAACTGAAGCGCAGAAAGGATAAGCAACTTGTTTACATCACACAGCTAACAATTGCCAGTGCTAGGATTTGAATATAGCTCACCCTCTGTACTAGAAAACAGTTCCAAGAGCCTTGATAGTTTTATTTTAAAGTCTGATACCTAAGTAGAAAAGAACTATATTTAGGAGTAACTATATTTAGGAGTCTTATGGGTTGAATTGTGTCCCCTAAAAATTCACATGATGAAATCGTAAACTCCAGTACTTCAGAATGTGTCCTTACTTGGAAACAGGGTCATCGCAGATGTACAGGCTTACCTGAGAGATAGGGGGGATTCAATTCCAGACCATCACAAAACAGCAAGTATTGCAACAAAGCGAGTCGTAATCACTTTTGCTGGTGAAGGGTCTTGCCTTCAATTTGTAAAACAAAAACAAAACAAAACATGCAACATCAGTGAAATGCAATAAAGCAAAGTGCAATAAAGCCAGGTATGCCTGCAGTTAGTTAAGGTAATGCCTTTAAGGTGGGTCCTAATCCAATATGATTGGTGTCCTTTTAAAGAGGGGAAATATGGACACAAAGATAGAGATGCAGAGAAAAGGGAAGAGATTTGAAGAGGTACTGATAGAAGATGTCCATCTACAAGCAAAAGAGACAGGCCTGGAACAGATTCTTCTCTTACATCCCAGCTCTCCTAACACCTTGATTTAAGACTTCTAGCCTCCAGAACTGCAAGAAAGCCAACTTTTTTTTTTTTCCTTTTAAAAGTCCTCACCCAAGGACATGCTTATCAAACCCGAATCCCAGGCACGAACCCACGACACTTCAGTTTATGGGACAATGCCCCAATCAACTGAGCCACGCCAGCCAGGGCACAGACTACTTTTTGAAAGCCACACAAAAACAACAGATTGAGCTTGGAGATGTTACAGTTCACAAAAACTAATTCCATTTAAAAATGAGTAACAGAAAATGATTGACGGAAAACCAAAGTTATTATAAAGGAAAAAGACAGTAAGCAGCAGAATGGTTCTCTCATCTCTGTGTAGGTTTGTCCCGGGAGGCCTGGGGGCAGTTTGTGAGAGTTGTGTAATGCCTAGAAGATCCAACTCGTCAACCTTACCACGCTATCACTTGTACCCTTCTGGTTCCACTTGTTCATCTCAAATTGGTCCACTGTGTCTTCTAAGAAAGAGTTGTAAGGTTTTTGGTTTTTTGTTTTTCATTTTGTTTTGTTTTTGGTTTGTAGACTATTTTAGGGTTTTGCTATTTTCTGGTCTGTCATATAATAGATCTATTGTTTCTATATGCCTTCTCCTTCACACATTGCACAGGTGTTGTAGTTGTGATTTGCCCTCAGCCTCTTGCATTTAGGGCTCATGGAAATATCTCATCACTTACTTTTTTGCAGATGCTGTCCATAGATTGATTAATTAATATACTGCAGGTGCAGCTCACTCACCCAGTTCTGGCCTCAGCGATCTGCCCATGCACCACCTGTAGGAGGAAGCCCAGACCCTGACACCTGGAGGAGGGGGCCCAGGCATTAGAAAGGACTAGAGTTTGCTTGATAGGTGGCAGCGGACAGACTCAAGGGCAAGTCTGGGACCAGGGGCCTCTGGCTCCACAGACACCAAAGTATTTCTCATCCCATAGTTTCCCTTTCGGCCCCAGTGGAACTCCCGGGATCCCACGATATCTGGCTTCCTGTCGGAAGAGTGGTAATGATGGCAACCACCTCAGTCCTGATTCCCCCATCCTCTGAGTAACCCCAGATGCTCGGTTCATCCCAGCCTGTCATCTCCTGGCCCTGTATCTCGACCCGCATCTATACCCACACATTCCAGAAGCCACCAAGCATACCTTGCATGTTCCAACTACACCATTTGCCTTTCTAGGAAACCCCACACTCCACACGCCCAGACCGGTTTGGCCCTGGCCTGCAGGCATTCCCCATGGTGTTCAAAACGAGAGAACATTTCCTGATGCAGGTACCTGGGTGAAGGGAAACTGATGTCATGGGTAAGAACTGGCCTCAAGGATGTACAATGGAAAGGTAAAGTTCAGACTGCTTCGGCCTTGGACCTTGGCAGAGATGGAATTGGGGCTCCAGGGTTCCAATCCAGAGCCCTGGGTCACACACCTGGGCGTTTGGGCCTTCGGAATCCTGGAAGGTAATAAACTTTGCAACCTGCACATGTGAATCTCACTCCCCCATTGTGACCCCAGGCAGTTCTGCCCTGCACAGCATCTGGGCAGGAGCCTGGTTCCAAACACTTGGCCACAGGTCCCTGGTAAGAGGCCCCACTGCACTGAGACGCAGATGCGGGGAGGGGAGCGGGGGGCAGGGCATTGACAGGGACTGGGGTTTGTCTGATAGGTGGTGTGGGCCAGGTTCCTTGCAGAAGAGTCTGGGATGACGGCCCTCCAGCACCTAGGGCACCCAAGTATGAGAGAAAAAAATAATACATTTATTAAACATAAAGCTTAGGTATAAAGTTTCAGTTATGTTAGATGAAAAAGATCTAGAGACGTGCTATATAACAATGTAGTTCAATTTTACAGTTAAAATGTTAAGAGGGTGGATTTCATGTTATACTTTTTAACCACAATAAAAAATAAGGCTATAAATTATGTACAGGATGGGTTTTTTTACAAGATTTTATTTATTCATTTTTAGAGAGACAGGAAGGGAGGGAGAAAGAGAGCGAAACATTGAGACAAGCATGGACTGGTGGCCTCTCGCAAGCCCCCAACCCAGGACCTCGCTGCACCCCAGGCATGTGCTCCGACTGGAAATAGAACCAGGGACCCTGTGGTTTGCAGGATGCCGCCCAACCCACTGAGCCACACCAGTCAGGGCCAGGATGGGCTTTTTAAAAAATCTATCATGCGTATCTCTGTGTATGAAGGCACTAGTCCTGTGTAACATCTAGTGGCAGGTATAAAGTGAAGGAAGAGGTGAGGAAGTGGAGTGGAGACTATAGAATTAAAATCATAAAAAATATAAACAGAGGTGATTCTAGTGGTGGGGATATGGTTAAATCTTGTTTTTATTTTTTTCTAAATTGAAATTAAACTACATTTATAGCTGCCTGTATAATCAGAGACATGCTCATAAAAATTGATTTCTTCTGTTTCTGATCTCTTTCTCTCTTACATATCTGAAATCAGAGGACTGGCCCATCAGAAGACAAAGCTCCTGCCCAGGGTCAGATATCTCCTTCATTACAAGGATGGATTTATCCACAAATAATCATTTTTAGCCATTTTCACCATTCCAGTCCTTTGGTCTTTACCAGACAAAATTCTTTCATCGCTAAGGAATCTGAGGAATGCTTTTTGTTCCGTCCCTTCTGCCACCAAGGCTGCAGCCTCCTGTTCCCTACCAGTTTTCTCCATCTCCCACACCTGCCCATATACTAGCTGCAGATGCTCCCCCAGAAGTGCTGTTATTCGAACCACATCTTCTGATTCTGCTTTTGATAGTGGGAGTGGAAGGGGTTAAATGATAGGTGGTATATTAATTGTGGGAATGGAAATGGGAGTTTGAAGGTGCTGCTCCTGCATAGGATCTAGCAGCAGGTAAAAAGTGAAGGAATGAATGAGGTGAAGTGGGGGAGAAAATTGCTATGATCCCCTACAGAGAACCTGCTGTTGCTCTGAGGCTCCCAAAGGATCTCAAATGCCTTTTGCCACCTCCCCTGCACCCTGCTGCTCAGAGAAACACCCATACCCTTCCTGTCACCACCACCTCCGTAAGTGCCTGCAAGGCAGCAGTACCAGGCCCACCCTACGTCAGTAATGGTAGTAATGGCAGCCGCTGCCAGGCCTGATTTTATTCCCTCTTCCTCCACTACCATTCTTACTCTTCTTCTAAAGCACCAGCGCCAAACTTACACCCAGCAGGAAGAAATACCTGCACATGCCCATCTTTCCAAGTGTACAGGTGACAGTACAATCTATAAGAAAAATCAGTTATCTCCTCTGCTCCCTCAAAAATGGTTTGGCCCCCACAAGGGCCCCCTTCTTTTCCTGTATCCCTCTGAGTTATCTAAGGCTCTCACTGTTAGTCGTATGAGAGAAGAGAGATTTCTGGCATGACAGAATTTTTGTTGTCCACCCCCATCTTACCATACCCACTCCAAGAAGGTATTCCAGATCTTTACCCCCCTTATCTCAGGGGAGGTTTATGCTCCCAGCCTGGTTTTCCATAATCCTGATCATCTTGACCAAATTATGCTGAGAGGAGTGACTTACAACACTGCTAATTATACCTAAGTATAATTACTCTTTACTCCTTGCCAGGACCCCAGGGAGAAGGCAGGGTCCTGAATGGAATGGGTACACAGTACATGTAGGGAGGCCCGACCTTAGGCATCAGGGCTTCCAGCAGGGGGAGATACCTCCAACCCCCACTGGCCTGGAGAAGCAGACATGCCTGTCTGCAAGTGACCACGTGGAATTGGACAGAGTGCCAGGGATGATCACAGTGGATCGAAGCCACATAAAAGCTCCTCTCCCTCCCACTCTTTGGTAACCCTGGAAGAGGAGGAGCTCTTCCACAGTGAATGACATTGACCTTTCCTTCACCTCGGTGGGACAAAAGGAAGATGCAGATTTAAACTGCAGTCTTTGAGCAAACTTGCCATGAGGAACACACTACACAGAAGACAGAGCAGGTAAGTGCACACTCTTTATTTATTACTAGTTACAAGCAGAAAAAACTACAACAAAGTTTGAGCTTGGTGAGCTGAAATCTCAAGGAGGGGAGGAAACTCTAGGACATCTCTTTTTTTAAACTGGAGTCTGACTTAACTTCCCACCCCCTGGATTCCACACTGGCTCCCTCCTCACTTGCAGCAGCTGCCTCAGGGAAGTGGAGAGCCTGCCCAGAATACACAAGGGGCCCAAGGGCATTCTCAAGAGTACCTGTCCCAGTCCAGTTCTGTTTCTAATCCAATTAACTCTTCCTAAGAGAAGCACAAAGAGGGTTTTGCTCTTCATCCACTCTTGACTGGAAAGGGACCTAAGATGGAGGTGGCTGAGTCTGAGGGCTAGAGTATATTGTCAACACTCCCCCAAGCAAAGCACTTAAGACAGGCAAAAAGGTCAACAGATTAAAAACTACAGATTGGTAACTACAAAATAGTCACAGGGAAATAAAGTACAGCATAGGTAATATAACCAATAATGGTGTAATAACCATGTATGGTACCAGGTGGGAACTAGAAACATGGCGGGGTGGGGGGGGATACTTTGTAAAGTATATGACTGTCTAATCACTATACTTCTGAAAGCAATATAAAGTAATACTGAAAGCAAACTATAATTGAAAATAGAAAGTTAAAATTAAAAGTTTCCACAGAAAAGAATAATATGCAAAAAAAAAAAAAATCAAAATCTCTTCTTCCCTTATTCTTCTCACTCTTCTCTGCTCCAGTCAGTGGAGTGTCTCACTCAGGTGTCGATCAGTCAGGATAAAGATGTGATTTCTTCAGACTTTTGGGGAATCTTCTAATAGGACAGGTTCTACTTCTTCAACAACATGCAAATTCTGTGATGCTCAGGAACACAAAAACAGGCCTTTACCTGTAATACTTTAAAAAGACAAGAAGCAAACATAAGTGCTACAGTAATTTACAAAGTAATAATAGCATTTTCAAGGAAACACAGGCCTAAAATTCAATAGAGCATATAACTCTAAAAAACACGTGACTGCTCCCAGCCAAAGACATGGCACTTTCAAGAAAAGGAGGTTAATAAGAAAAGAAAGGAGTGGAAAAGGAGAAAAAAGGCTTCATGGCTTCAGTGTCTTCAAGTGTCAACCAATCAGCATCAGCCATCCAGAACCCACCACCTGCAAACTTAAATGCAGTTAGGAGAAATCCTCTACTCAAAGACTAAGGGGGTGGAGAGGAAGTGTGATACTCAAAAGCAGCCTATCTTTGTTAAATAAATGGTTAAGAATATAAATACCTATATATTTTTGTGTACTCAGAATAAAAAGTGGTTGAGTAATGGGATAATAGATTTTATTTAAATTTATCATACTTTTAGTTTTCAGATTTTCAAGTAAATGAGCTACTTTTTGATCAGAAAGCAGTCTTAGGAAATTGGTTTTTCTCTGGAGTGTTTATATTCTTACTTACCTTCCTGAAATGAGTTTGTCGTGGGTCCACGCCTCCATTCCCAAATGACATACTCACTCTCTTGCATTTATAGCAGGACTTGCGCCATAAAAAATTAACCGCTCTACACCATGGACAATACCAGTTCTGCAGATTGTAGTGTGCAGCAAGCAGCTCCGGGTACAGGAATTCTGGGGCTCTTACCCCTTTTGGTTGCCCAGGCTTCTGCCCCAGAGGCTGTTGTTTCCTTGGACATTTTCTCACAGCGCCACTCCTGCTGGCCCCCTGGGGCATCTCTGCACCACCTTCTTGGCTGTGGCTCTTCCTGGCCCCCGCGGGGTGCCCCCCCTGGGGTACCTGTGGACCACCTTCTTGGCTGTGGCTTGCGCTGTTTCCCAGGGGGTTCCTCCCCTGGAGCATAACTGGACCTTCTTCTTGGCCGTGGCTCTGGCTGGCCCCCATGGGGTGCTCCCCCTGGGGCACCTGTGGACCTTCTTCTTGGTTGTGGCTGGTACCGTTTCCCAGGAGGTTCCTCCCCTGGGGCATAACTGGACCACCTTCTTGGCTGTGGCTCTGGCTGGCCCCCAGGGGGTAGTTCTCCTGGAGCATCTCTGGACCTTCTTCTTGGCTGTGGCTTGTGCTGTTTCCCAGGAGGTTCCTTCCCTGGGGCATAACTGGACCTTCTTCTTGGCTGTAGCTCTGGCTGCCCCCCAAGGGGTAGTTCTCCTGGAGCATCTCTGGACCTTCTTCTTGGCTGTGGCTCTGGCTGGCCCCCAAGGGGTACTCCTCCTGGGGCATCACTGGATATTCCTTCTGGGAATACACAAGATCTTCGTCTTGGTTGAGATCTGTGCTGTCCCCCAGGGCATATTCCTCCTGGAGATTCTCGGGACATTCGCACTGACCGTAGCAACTGTGGTCAGACAGGGGGGCCATCTCCTCCTGGGTTTCCACTGCAGCACACAGGCTAGGTGGGTAGATCCCCAAAGGAGGTATCTGGGGCACGCCTGCTCCTGCTGCTGCCATTCCTCCCACTGCTCCTTCTGCTTCCATGACGACTGGTGGCGGCGGCGGCGGAGGTAGAGGTGTCGAGTATGGAAATCCCACTGGGAATGGCGCATGGACTGAGACTGGCCCATGGACTGGGAATGGATGTGGTGCTGGCGCTGGCGCTGGCGCTGGCAGAGGTGGTTGCATGGCCTGGGCCCAGGGGCTTGAAGGCCCCGGCATGTAAAGCTCAGCTCCCAGGGTTGCCATCTGGGTTTCCAAATGCGGCATACTGTGTGCCCCTGTAGTTACCATCTCGCCCTGTTCCTCTGCATTCATGGGCCACGCTGTGGCCCCACGTTGCTGATCTCTCCGCACAGGATTGACTGCCTGGGGCAGTAGATTGGCCTGAGCTGATCTCTCGACCTGGCGCAGTCGCTGGCGCAACATATCACGCTCATCCACCGTCTCCCGCAGTGTGGCCAGTGCATGATGTAGATTGGAGGCCACCTGGTCGCGCTCCTTGCACAGCTGCTGCAACTGGGAAGCCAGAACCCAGGAAGTTGCCTCGCGCTCCTGCACCCTCTGCTGCAGCCACCGGAGCTGGGGCACTTGCTGCTCGCGCTGCCTCGCGGCCACACGCACACTCAAGGCCAATGCGCTCCACGTATATGCCCTCTTGAGATTATGCGGTACCTGAGGGTCGGTCACGATGGCCCGTAGCTGGTCCTCTATCTCGTTCCAGGGCTGCGAACGTAAGGCAGTGTAGAAATCCGAGCCGCCTCCATTACTGAGGACTTCATTGTTGATGAAGCTGATCACCTCGCTGTGGCGGAACCCGCTGGCAAAGTCTCCAAAATTCACCGCCATGGCTGCTGCGGCTTAGTCAACCAACTTTCTCACAGGCAAAGAGGCCACTAATGCCACTGGGGAGTACCCTGCCGCGCCGCCGCCCTCGCCGCGTAGCCTGCCGCGCTGCCACTGCCGGCCGCTGCCGCCGGTAAAAGCTGCGCCACCAACACGCACACCCCTCAGCTCTCTGTTCAGTCTTAGGTTCAGTCCTAGCCCAGTCCTCGCCTCTTATGCCTCTTTCCTCTCTCACACCTTTGTTTTCTTCACAAAGACCACGCCCGCCTACCTCACCACACCAGCTCCAGCGAGGCGACCGCGTGATGCGTCACGGAGACGTGCTGTGCGTCATGTCGCAAGGCCTTCTGGGACCAACCTTCCTTCACAGACCGCCCCCTACGGCGCGAACAGGCTGGATGCGCTGGGCACGGCAGCATACTCATGCCACTAGGGGGCACTGTGGAACTCTTGGAGACACTAAAAGTGATCACTCAGGCACCTGGGGGACTGGAATGGGACTTCCAAACGCATGGATACATACACTCCTGGTCTAAACGGAAGGGTGAGTCAGAGGAAGTCAGAGAATTTATGAGGGAGGATGGAATTGAGGCAGAGAAATCTGGGGTTGCAAAATCCCAGGATTAGGGAGGTGAAGTAGGGTGTAAATCAGAAAAGGGGCAGGACATTGTTCAGAGAGACGTGAAAGGAAAAGCTATGTTCAAGCTGCTAATCTGGGAAAGGTGATGAGGCTGCATGTTGGGACAACAGTAGAAACCATATGAAGGAGAGCAGAATATACCAACCCAAAATATAGCACGTTGGCATATTGATTATCTTAAAATTACTTAAGAAATGGCCAGTACAAGAAGTGCACACTGGCTCTCCCTCCTTTGTCCCCTTGAAAGCAGAAAATAAACCTCCCATAAGAAAGATGCCCACCCTATGGCAAGAGAATAGAGGACGTCCTTATCACCAGAAATATGAAATTTACAGTTAGGAAGGCTGTCTGTATACACAAAACTTGTTACTTCTTCTACCCAATTTACTACCCAAAACCCAAACCTATTTGTCTTGTCAATTCTTCACAAATATTCTGTTTCTTAGTCTAAAAGGCTTTCAAGCTACCTGTTTCAATCATTTGAGTCCCATATTTTTAATTTTTTTGTTTTTCCTTTTTTTCAGTTACAGTTTGCATTTAATATTATTTTGTATTAGTTTCAGGTGTACAGCATGATCATTAGACAATCATATACTTTACAAAGTGATCCCACCAATATTTCAAGTATCCACCTGGCACCATACATAGTTATTAAAATATAATTTACTATATTTCCTATGCTATACTTTCCATCCCTGTGACATTTTATAACTACCAATCTATACTTGTCAATACCTTCAGCTTTTTAACCCAATTCCTCAACCCTCCTTCCCTCTGGCAACCATCAGTGTGTTAGCTATGTCTATAAATCTGTTTCTGTTTTGTTTGGTCATTTATATTGTTCTATAGATTCCACGTATAAGGGAAATCATATGGTATTTGTCTTTTATTAACGGACTTATTTCACTGAGTATAATACCCTCCAGATTTATCCATACTGTGCAAATGCTAAGATTTCATTCTTTTTATGGCTGAGTAATATTCCATTGTTGTATGTACCATCACTTGATGGGCACTTGAGCTGCTTCCACATCTTGGCTACTGCAAATAACACTGCAATGAACGTAAGGGTACATATATTCTTTCAAATTAGTGTTTTGGATTTCTTCAGATAAATATTCAGAAGTAGAATCACTGGATCATAAGGCAGTTTCATTTTTACTTTTTTAAGGAACCACCATATTGTTTTCCACCGTGGCTGCACCAACCTGCATTTCTACCAAGAGTGCACAAGGGTTCCCTTTTCTCCACATTCTCACCACCACTTGTTTGAGGATTTAATGACGATAGCCATTCTGATAGGTATAAGGTGATCTCTCATTGAGGTTTTCATTTGCATTTCTGTGATAAGTGACATTCAGTATCTTTTCATATGCCTATTAACCTTCTTTAGGGAACTGTCTATTCAGGTCCTTTGCCCATTTTTTAATTGGATTGTTTGATTTTTGGTGTTGAGTAATGTGATTTTACTAAATGAATTTGAGATATTAATCTCTTATCAAATGTATCATTGGCAAATGTCTTTATTCATTCAGTGGATTGTCTTCTTCTTGGCACAAACACGAAAAGACTTTATTCATATTAGATAATAATTGATTAGATCAATTTTCAAGGACACTTAAAACAATTTCTGAACTCAGATTTGAGTTTTTAAAATACTATATTCAAGATCTGGATATTTTACTTACAGAATTTTGCATGTAGGCAACTTCTTTCTACAGAAAGGTAAAATACTATTTGTGTTGCTTAATTCCCCATTATTTTGCTATTTCAACATTACTTTGTACCCCTAGTCATCTCGTTGTTAATCTAAGGTGGCATTTCCTTCACTCTCGGCCTTTTTTGAGCTTCATTTTCTCTCTTTGTGTTCTTGTATACCTTTGAGGTGTAAGGTGTTCCTTCCCATGATCTTTGATTACCTCCTTAGAGAACATGACTCCTTTTAAAGGTTTTTGTTATCAATAACAAAAAGACTTCCAGTGATGGGTTTTGCAAAACATCATCCTCTTGACAATTTTCTTGGCATTCTAAAGATCTTGCTTCTCTTTTATTTTGCCTTCTATGTCCTCTGTTTCCTAAGTGCATGGCCACCATTCCTTTACTCCATTTCTGGACAGGAATGCCAGCCCTCATGATTTGTTTTATGAGAGTCTTTTCTTGGTCTCCTGAATTGCATGTCTCCACATTAGCAGTAAAGCAATCTTCACAAGGACCTTTTTGTGTCTCATCATTTCTCTTGCTTTGGGAACTAACAAAGATATCCTGCCCCTGGCCTCAGAGCTTCACCATCCACTAAGTCACCTGAGACAGAAACCTGGAAGTCAGCACAGACTACTCTTTTCATTTTCTTGATAGTTTCCTTTTCTGTGCAAACCTTTTTTAGTTTGATGTAGTCCCATTTATTTATTTTTTCCTTTTGTTTCCCTTGCCCGAGGAAATATATCAGGAAAAAAAATATTACTAAGAGAAATGTCTCACATATTACTGCCTATGTTTTCTTGTAGGAGTTTTATGGTTTCAAGTCGTATATTTAAGACTTTAATCCAGTTTGAGTTTATTCTTGTATATGGTATAAGAGGTTGGTCTAGTTTCATTTTTTTTTTACTTACCTGTCCAATTTTCCCAACACCATTTTTGGAATAGATTACTTTTACTCCACTGTATGTTCTTGCCTTCTTTGCCATAGATTAATTGACCATATAGGCATGGGTTTACTTCTGGGCTCTCTATTTTGTTCCATTGATCTGCATATCTGTTTTTATGCCATTACCATGCTGTTTTGATTACGATGGCCTTGTAGTATAGTTTTATATCAGGTAACATGATTCCCCCAATTTTGTTCTTCTTTCTCTTGATTGCTGTGGCTATTCAGAATCTTTTGTAGTTCCACATAAAGTTTTGGATTATTTGTTCTAGTGCTGTGCAATATGCCATTGGTATCTTGATAGGAGTTGCATTGAATCTATACTTTGTTCTGGGTAGTACGGACATTTTAATGATGTTAATTCTTCCTATCCATAAGCACAGTATTTGCTTCCATTTATTAGTATCGACTTCAATTTCTTTCTTCAGTGTCTTACATCCTCTGTTAAATTTATTCCTAGGTATTTTTTAATGCAGTTGCAAATGGGGTTGTTTTCTTAGTTTCCCTTTCTGATGGTTAAAAAATGTAGACTAAGCTGAGGATTCATATACAGCATTTAGGCTAATTTCATATGTTAAATCATCAGAATGAAATATAGTCTGTGAACATTTAATAGTACTTTAAAAACTAATTTAATCTCTAATATTTAACGCCAAAAATGCACAAAAGAAAGACTAGTTTCTTCTAATGTGAACTTTCTGTGGTATTTGACTCTATTCATCACTCTCTATTTGAAATTCAATACTTCCTTTTATTCTGGGACACAAAATTCTATTCATCTTTCTTTTTCCTGGCTCTCTTTTCAGTGTGGTATTACCCCACATTACACTAGAAGTATTTAACCCTTTTTTGTGCCATACAACCTTTGATGTTTAGTGAAGCATATTAACTCTCCTCAAAATAACACTTTCAAATAAATATATAAAATCCATAGGATTGCAAGAAAACTAAATATATTAAAATATAGTTATCAAATTATTTTAAATTGTGACATAGTAAAATATATTTTTATTAAAGCATTAAGTAACAAGATCTTTTGGCAGATTTAATAACTATTCTAATTTTGAAGTAATGATGTACATGATACTTTGAAATATATGCCAGAACTAAATGTGATTGCTATGATGAAGTAGCGCCAGGTACTGCTAATACAACTGTGGGTTTTGTTTGTTGTTGTTGTTGTTTTTTTTTACTTATGTTGATAACTGAAGAAGTGCTAAATTTCCATAATAGGGTAATGGAAATAAAGAAAGTAATAATTTCCCCATAAAAATTCAAGGACACCAGACACTTGAATCTGCACACATGATAAAATTATATAGAACTCCACACACACACATGCACATGAGTATAAAACGTGGGAAATCTGAATAGAATCAGTTGATTGTATAAATGTTAATATCTTGGTTATGATATTGTACTATAGTTTTACAAGATATTGCCATTGGGTGACTTGGATAAAGGTTATGTGGGACTTTTCTGTATTGTACAACTTCATTTGAATCTACGATTACCTTAATAAAAAATTTCTGTTAAAATTTCATACTCCAAGGAAATAACCTTTGCACTATCAAGATCTTGATGCAGTGTTTCCCAAAGTGTTCTTGAAGGTGTGTTCTATGGCATATGAAACGTATTGGAAAGTCAAGAAATATTTTTTTAGAAATCTTGAAGCCAGATTTGTTCAAGTGTATTTTTTCATAAAAAGGAAAAAAATTT